AATCATCATTTTACGTTTGCACATTGCTGTAATACTCTGATTGAGTGCTGAATGGCCTGCAAGGCTACAAGTGTTGTTACATCTAGTTTGGATTTGTTGGACTCCATGTAGTCTACTTCTTGATGGTTTAGATAGAATATTTAACTTTTCAAATAAATACTTCCTCTGTCCCATAAGATAGTTACCAAAGAGAAAATCACAGAGTAATAAAGGAAAAAAGTGACCACTGAGGTGACCAAAAAGTAAAAGGAAATAGTGATTGAGAAGTGGTATATTGAGGTGAAAAGTAATTTAAAAAGTAGAAGGAGAAAAGGGGTGGTTTAAATTTAGGGGTGCAGTATTGGTTTAATGTGATATAAAGTGAAAGGTGAAAAGAAATTGTAAACTTTCTAAGGGGACAACAAAAAATGGCATTGTAAACTTTCAAATGGGACGGAGGGAGTATAACATATAGTAGAATTATGAAATTTTATGTTGAACATGATGAGTTGATGACACTCCTATCCGCCTGAATTTTATTTTGAAGGGCTAAACTAAAAGCATCAAGGTAAAAGAACCTTCTACAAAAACGTTTGATGCGGGAAGAGGGAAATACCAATGTGAAAAATGCATTTGACATTGGCCGAATTGCCCAAAGATCACAGCATTTTATAAGAAAATTTATGATTTACAGGCCATGCCCAATAAAATAATCCGGTGGAATGTTAATTGATATCAATTAGCATAAACTTATGACTTTAGGAGCACATAAATAAACAACGTAATATGTCAATAAACTGGTATATCTTTACACAGCTTGTTATAGACTTGAAATTAGATAAAGAATATGATCACGAACAGAGTACTCGACAACATACAATGAACCCATATGTAATCAATAAATGTGCTCCCAAGTATATACAATAGCATAATAAGTCTATATGGTTAATTAATAATTAAAGAGTAGTAAAAAGGTATCTTACAAGTTCATGATGACTGATATAAGGATCCAGCTTTGAAGAAATGACGTGTGCCTTGAACCATTCAAAAACGGGAAGATTTTGTTGCTTCTTTTCTTCCACTCTCTTAATGACATGCTCAATCTAAAATAAATTAGCAACAATTTTATTGGATATGAAGCCATGAAGGTGTAATTATTGATATACAACAACTACAACTACTAAGCTTCAATCCCAATTCAATAGGGCTGGTTACGTGAACTACTATTTCTCCATTGAATTCCTCTTTCTCCTATTTAAGTCATGACTATATGTTCATTAACCCCAACAAACTGATTTACCTCTTTACACCCTCAATCTGATTCATTATTGGTCTAACCTGGCTTCTAGTTAAAGTTTAAGCTTACAACGTTACAAGTCTCCACTTCCCAGAAAGGGACAATTACTACTTGATGACCAGTGTGGCTGAACCAACATGACCAATTCCTCCTAACTTTATCTTCAATAGTGACTACATCCACCTCATGATTTTCCTTGTTACATGCATTATCTTTTTTATCTTACCACATCACACATCCATCGTAAGATATCTCCACTATATCCATCTATTTTATCGAATCTTTCTTCATTTTTCAATACCCATAAAATATAGTTGATTTTGTAGTAGACCCATAAAATTTTCCTTCCAGTCATAGGGACACATTTTGATCGCATTGTAATCATTTTGCTCTTTTACATTGCAGCCAGTATTGATCCTATGTGTCACATGGTCATGCAACATGCTTGGATGATACGTAGTATACACTACTCGGGACAATTATGCATGAGACTATTAAATTTAAAATGCAAGAGAATAGAAGAAAATAGCCAACAGCAAAGGAAGTTATCGACAAACCTGACTCAAGTAATCATCAAACAACATAATGGCATGATCATCGCGTCCAGTATTAACCTTAAAAATGCGTACCAATTTCTCCCTCTTCAGTGACTGCTCTCGAAGATATGTAACTAAAAAAAGTCAATACCACCAGGGGCAGTAAAAACCGAGGAGATACATAACAAATTCAAGATTAGATCGATCATATGAGTCAAGACGAGCTCATTTGAACAATAATTTCCAAATGAACATCATGGGATACTATGACCCAATTCATATGACCTAAGGTGAAGCCTGTTCTACTAGTCTAGCTCAAGCTTGTTTAAGATTACAAGTTTACAAAGCTACTAAGCTATCACAAATCAATAAATAGAATAACTTGGATATAGAGCATGTTTGGCCAGACATGCGAAACTTGGTGCCTGCATAACTTCTCTGATGCATTTCAACAGCCAAGAGGGCAGTAGATACCGTACCTCCAGTTCCCTATCTACTTGTGTCCTGTCTTTTACACTGCTATACAACTGTGATTGCAATACAAAAGGCCGAATAGAAACCTGAAAAAAACAACGCTATACACATTCAAATCATCAATGGAAACAATAAACACAAATTGTAATCGAGAGAAGCTAAATCCTGATTATCATATTGATTAGGGAGACTATATAAAGCATAAATCTGCAATTTGAGACGCCTATATATAAAAAGCAGCCATATCTAAGCAAAGAGAGCAACGAACAACTGAGGACCTTCTCAATGTGCGGGAACTGAGCACACATCATACGAATAGCCACAAAAGTATCGGTAAATTCCAAATTATCCTCTGTATATCGCGGTACGGAGAAACAACTGGTTAAGCAAGGGAAATCATCAAAGACGCAGAAAGATAGAGACGCAATAACGGACCGGCTGGAAGAGATTGATCGGAGACTCCTGATTCCGGCTCGCGGTGGCGTTTCCTGCTCGTCGATGCCGTCACGTCCATAGTTCCCGCCTTCCCGGCTTCACCAGATCTGCGTCACAAGTCTCGTCGTCTGGTCTTTTTTATTCGTTTTGTTTAAATAGGTCAAACACGGGAAGTTGCCGATTATAGAAGAGACGGTGGGTGAGTTGACTGCTGCATAGGGAAATTGGTTCACAGACACAATAATCACAAATTTCACAAACTTACTATTTGTGAATTTCCATGCACAAAATTAAATGGTCTAAAATGATTTTAAAATAAAATTTTAAATCATAAATAATAAGTTTGTGAAATTTGTGACCATTGTATTTGTGAACATAGCATTGCTCCTGCTGCATATCACTTACCAAATTTAGGGGTGTTTGTTTCAGTCTCTTAATAGTTCACATGTCTGAATGATTCAGCATTTAATGGTTTAGACTGTTTGTTTTAGTCTCTTAATGGTTTAGATGTCTGAATGGTTAAGAGATTTGCCTCTGAATGGTTAGGTATTATACAGAGTCTGAATGGTTAAAACCTCTTATCTAAATTGATCAGACATTTGCCTCTGAATAGTTAAGCAATATACTAGCTCTTAATGGTTCAGACCTCTTACTAGTTCAGCACTTAGGGGCTGTTTGTTTCAGCCTCTTAATGGTTCAGATGTCTGAATGGTTAAGAGTTTTGCCTCTGAATGGTTAAGTATTATACAGAGTCTGAATGGTTAAGAGCTGTTATCTGAATTGATCAGACATTTGCTTCTGAATAGTTAAGCAATATACTAGCTCTTAATGGTTCAGACCTCTTACTGGTTCAGCACTTAATGATTCAGACCTTTACTGGTTCAGCACTTACCCATTCAAAAGTTGTCAAACAGCCCCTTAATGGTTCAGACCTCTTACTGGTTCAACACTTACCTATTCAGAAGTTGTCAAACAGCCCCTTAGGCATTTAGCAAAAAAATATGAATTCTACTTCCTCCGTCCCATTTTAAATCGTCTGTTTTGACTTTTGACATAGTTAAGGAAACGAAAAAATAGAATTGATTTTTCAAAATTGTCATTACTTTTAGGAGTGACTATGAATTAGAAAATAAGGTAAAGAAGGGTGACTTATTTTAGGGGTAGTTTAGATATTTTATTTTTAAAAGTTTATAATAACAACTAACAGACAACTTATTTTGGGACGGAGAAAAAAATCAAACAGACAATTTAAATTGGGACAGAAGTAATATTTCTAGCCTTTTTTTTAAATATTTGGTGAAATTTAAATAGATTTTGCAACTTATGATATCTCTAGATATATGAATCCTTCTAAAAAAAAGTTTTGATATCTTCAAAAATTGAGATTTGACATTTTCTTCAACTGTTGGTCTCTCTTGTCACGTGTTGTCACCATCGTCGCTCACCCAATGCCATTCATTTTCCGTTGCTAATCACTTGCATTTTTCACTAAAATTTATGACTTCAAATATGTTTAAAAACTTTTGTTTCAGATTTCTAAATCTCTATTACTACTAATATTTACCATAAAGTAATACTCTTTCTATCTCATCAATCAAATTATTAATAAAATATTCCCTCCATCCCAATTTATAGTGCATGTTTACTATTCACCGTGTTAAACTTTATCCACTTTTTTTTCTTTATTTTCATTAGTTATTTGATAAAATAAAGTACTATTGTCACTACTAATTCTGTAGATCTTTTGATGTACAGTAGCATTTTAATATGTAATTTTTATTTTTTAATTCTATACCATTTGTCATATAAAATGATTTGAAAATAATTTCAATTAAATATCGTAAACTGAAACATACACTATAAATTGGGATGGGGTGAGTAATAAAAATACGGTGTACATATCATAGCATGAGAAAAATGCTTATGTGACATAAAGTATATCGTATATGAGCTTTGAGGAGGACCTTAATGTAAAAGAGAACTCATGCAAATATAAATTTAGGTCTTTACAGTTTGAAAATAATTTTCATCGTGCTCTAAAACAGAGTATTACTCTCCCCGTCCCAAATTATAATGATTGTTTACTATTCACAGGGTCAAACTTCATTCACTTTCTTTCTCTATTTTCGTTAGCAATTTGATAAAATAAAATATTATTGTCACTACTAGTTTTGTAGATCTTTTGATGTAGTTTTTTAATATGTAATTTTTATTTTTTAATTTATACCATTTGTCATATAAAATGGTTTGAAAATAATTTCAATCAAACATCATAAACCGAAACAGACGTTATAATTTGGGACGGAAGTAGTAGTTTTTAAGATGTATACCTCCATTAAATTACCTCGTATTGTTTTAATATTTGAAATTAAGAACCACATATTTTGCGACAAGACTCGGCTTCAATGACATTATTTTTGAGGTAGACTCTGTTATTACTTTTAACATCTTGAGCTTGAAGGACTAATGTTTCAGTTAGTTAGCCCTTTGTAAAAAGGGGAAGTAATTTCCCGGCTCATCATCTCGCTAGACAATATTGTTCTGACTGATGCATTAAGAAAATGATGTTTCGGTTGGTCTTGCAAATAAACAATTGAGATATAAAATAGACTCCTAATATACACTGAAAAATGCCAAACAAAGATATAAAAATTGCGGAGTATGAAATACGGAGTAATTCTGAAAGAATCACTCTTTCAAGAGTTGAGGGAAAAACTCACAAACTTAAAGTTCTGATTAGTTAACTTTCATTCCACTCAGACTATTACATTGAGTATCTATACCAGCCTTAAGCACCAACTAAATCACTTTGATTTGGGGAAAAATATCCTTAAATCTTGGGGATTAAAAGCTAAAGAAAACCTGGAAAGGTGTCTCAAATGATCTAACTCATGGATAATGCATTGTGTGCAACCTTTCCTAGTTTTCTTTAGCTTGTAACCAAACATGCAAAAGATGACTCCCATCAAATGGTTCAATTGAAAAAAAAGGATATATTCTGATGCATTAACTCAAATGTTCTCAATACCCTGCTTGTGTGAAAATTTGTCATCCTCTTGGATGGGGGGGGGGGGTTGGTGATATAGCATATATGCCCTACAAAATCCAACTGTCTCACAGGTTGGGTTACGCGGATTTTAGCTTGGCCGATGTTGAAGCCAAGTGAGAGAGGGTCGAGTGTCCAACAAACATCAAGAAGATTCCCAACACTCCCAAAGCTTTCAATGTGGTGAACAGATTCAACTGCAACACAAACCAAATTTCAACACATTTGATGTTTTCAGGTTATATATGATTATTTTTCTCTTTATTATTATGAATTTGAAACATGGTAAAAGGATTTAGGCAAAGGGTGGGGAGGACCTTCAGCCAGAAGAGCAGATAGAGTGCGAGAACAGCTGCAATGCCAACATGAAAAAGAGCAGCAAACATAGCAGGAACAGGAGCAGATGGGAAGTTCTTCAGGTTCACTCGTAACCTCAAAAGCTGTCATTATTTATATATTTATTGACAGGAATAATAAATACTCGTAATGAATCAAATTCTGCATGACAAAAAAACATGCATCAAGAGGCTGGATAATGAAGACTAACCCCAATCAAAAACCCAAAGAAGGGCAAAAGGACTAATGCCAAAAATGCAAGAGAAAGCTCTCTAGGAGGCTGTTTCTCTGGGACTCTGAATATGTGAGATATTTCTGCTTTGGGTCCATAGTTTGTGGAAGAGTCAATGGGCTGCAGAGGTCGGGCCGCCTTCTCAGGAGCCTCAGGAAGATCCAATTCAACATAGCCCAGTGATTGCAAGAAAGAGTTTTCCTGAAGAGAAAATATCAAGCACAATTTTTAGCATGATTGTTTCTTTCCTGAAGAACAAATATCCAGCACAAGTTTTAGCATGGACCACCCCATGGTTGGGGCTGTGGAGGGGTTTTAACTCAAAACCAAAGTACTTACCATAACAGCATCACCAACAGTCAGTTGAATATCATATCTGCCTGATAGATAGAAAAGCTTCTCGACAAGTCCAAGAAAATCCTAACAGCACAGAATTTAAAGACCGAGTTAAACTCAGTGAAAAAAAGAAGATGATACAATTCACTCATGGCTATCCTCAAATTGTGGTAAACTTAATATCACAAACTCAATAAGGATATACTCCAGGCATCTTCCGGAAAAGATTGAGAGAAATAAGCAAAACAAAATATAATGTCTACAGAGGAAACATGAAATTCTGCAGATTCCTTTGAAGGAAAACAAGCATATCCAAGTTTCACAAATGAATGGTTTTACGAACTTAACTAGAATTATCTCAAATTGCTTTCCAGAGCTCCCAACCACAAAGATATGTTCGACACTGCTCTCGTGTCTCAACTTGAGGAATGCCTGCACGGAGGGGCATAAAATTTAAGCACATAGAAAACTAATGCGGCCCAAGAGAACCAAACATATATATATATATATGTATGTATATATGTATGTATATATGTGTGTGTGTGTGTGTGTGTGTGTATGTATGTATAAATGAATACAGTAAATAATAAACAAAAAAACAAGCAGCAAACCTGGTGTGGTTTAAAAGCATGTCCAAGAGGAGTGGTCAACTGAAAGGCTAGCCGAAGTTTCTGAAGGTGGTTAGCCTGTAGAGAGGCAGAATTCTCCCCAGCAAAATTCAGCCTGAGCCAATTGTTGTATGAGTATGTTAAGAGGGTCAAGCGTGCACCAAATAAGGAGAAAGAGCACAAATGAACAGCACAATTTAGTAAGTGATCTCATACTGATTAGGCCTTGCTACTTGCATTGTGATTGACACACAAAGCCAAATCAATATCTAATTAATCAAGCATTGTGTGCAGATAACGAAAGAACAGAAATATGAATAAGAAAGAAGAAACATTTCACAATACATTTTTTTTGTTTCCACGTTCTCAAGATCACTGTCGAGAATAGCAATCTCCGCATGGTCAGCTGCGATTACTCCTGTGACATATAAAGTTACTTTGCTTCTTCCACCTGTAGCATAGATTTTCTTATGCTCTGGATCATGAAGAACAATCTGCACAACAAGGCCAAGAGAAAAGGAAGAAACTCATAGATGCTATTCCTAAAGAACGGGGAATGATTAATATGAGAAACACATTTCAAGAAGAATAAGGAAAGGATCATACATCAAAACTGAAAATGTAACTCCCAACATCAATGCTTTCTGGCAGAGCATCCAAAATATGTACATCATTTTCCGAATCAAACTTGAGATCCTGAAGCATTCAGGAGAAAGATAAACAAAGTAAAAAAGACAGAAAAAGGTGACATGATCATCACAATTACAACAACTTAGGCACTTAGAACCTGATCAACTAAGGAAGCATCCCTTGAGCCGGAGACCAAGAATTGCTTGAATCGTACTGACAGTGGAGGCGCAGAAGATCCCAACACGGTGTTTACATGTACCTAATAAATACAATTTAAAGAACTCAATTAATTGAAAACAACTAACTTTGTCCACAAACCCCTAGTACAGAGTCATCAGCTCGTGCAAGAACAGAGTGATCTGGTAGAGAGGTTGTGTCTGAAAGACGCCCAGCACACTTATGAGTTTCTTATCAAATAAGAATATCAATAAATAATGCGGAGCAATAATTACAATACTTCTAAAATCCATGCCTCTAGAAAACGACCAGGCAACCAAAAAAGAATAGAGGGAAAAAACATTGTTTAAATAGAAGAAGCATTTGTATGAGGTATTTGAAAATAAAATTATGAGTATACAAGTATAAAATAAATGGCACACCTTTAGCTGGTCTTTACTAGTCAATGACAGCACAGTAGTGGGTAGTGACAGAATCAAAGGAATATAAACCCTATACACAATACAACGGCATATGTAAACAGATAGATCTGATAGACAAAAGCCATCAAAACCACATCAACTGTCACACAGAGAAAATAATAATTATATATGACATGCCTATTGTCTTCCAAGCAGGCAAGTGCATCAATCTGGTAGAATAAATCCTTTTCATTTCCTGGGATCCCAATACCCAGGAAAAACTTTGCTAATCCCAATATCTTTTCACCGGGAATCTGCAATGAAAAAAGGAAATCAGTATGCACAGTGCACACACAGAAATAGAGCAAGTGAGCAAGACTGTTTCCACTTCATCATACATTTAAACTTTCATGTGTCGCTGTTGCTAAAGCTGTGATACCATGGACTATTGATGACGAAGCTGAAAGAGGACCATTGTGTCTGTATACATCAAGTTTCTCATCAAAATAATAGGCCCCATCATCTGCAGTATTAAAATAATGACCACTTTGTAAGGATGATTTGCTTGCACTTGATTGTTTTTTTATGCAGCAAATAACCAATTCCACACAATTAAAAAAATTAATTCTCACATTAGTGTATTAGAAATACCACATTCAAGTATTCAACATGAAGGAAAACAAAGTGGCTGGTAGATCATTATATAGGGAATCCTATATAAAAAAAGAAAAAAAAAGAAAAAAAATATATATTGAAACACCTAAACCAATATCAAATGATGAATATAACTCTAAAACTGCAAAGACACCATTAAATAACAAAGAATGAGAAATTAAACTATATTCAAAATGATAATGTTTTTTGTGTAATGTCTTAATGGCAACAAATCACTAAAATTTCATACCGTATTTCTCAATATGGTCAAAAAGCTTTGATATATCATTTTTCAACATATCAATCTGTCATTAGAGCATATCAAGTTGATCAGTGTATGAATGATAATGATGATAATAGCCTCCAAAAAACAGCAGTAAACAAGTCTGAGAGTGTTATTCAACTTACTAGAGAATGCTCAATCTCAGAAGATGCTAGAGAAATAACACCAGCCAGGGTCTTGAGTGCCATTCCTGCAAACGATATCTAATTGGGTATATCACTAAAAAATAACAAAATAAACTAATAATAAAGAATTCAAGGAATACACATGTCACATGAAATGAATCTGAATTGAGTGTTAAAACATAACACCGTATCACCTGCTGCATAAGAGCTAGCATCAGGGTTATTGGAAATATAACGCCACCTTCCATCACTTTGGCTAAGGGCCTACGAATAAGAAACAATTTCATTGAGCCCTTCTGAATATTAAAAAAATAATTGCGACACAAGTTGAATGTGACAAGTTGTATCAAATAAGCACCAGATACAGAATATAACCTTGATAGAATGGAAAAGTTGTTTAGCGTCCTTAAGATGAACTTCAACTTCAGGATTTTGATCCTACAAGATAAATAATTGATAGGAAGACAATAAAAGCAGTTAGGGATCTTCAGTTTCTTGATTATTTTTCTCTGCTATATTGGCTTGTGAATATCATTAGCTATTAATTACCTTGATAAGCACTAAACCACCAATCGAATAGTAGAAGTCCAGAAGTGATTTGGCATTATTTACAGCTTTGGTCAGTGTTGAGGCAGTGTGCTTCAATGTAATACAAAAAAGGGAAATGGAGGATGATTAGGGAAATTGATGAAAATCAAGTATTGAAAAACTAAATAAACGAAGCTCATATCACAAAAAACATGACAGCTCATCAAGCTTAAAACTTACTGCAATAGCATCATCATTCAGCTCACACTTCAATATTCCATTAACCCTCAATGCTTGAAACAAATCCTTCAAATGGGAAGAAGAAGAAGCCGAGAGGACATCACCAATTGACTTGCAGGTAGAAGCCCTAATCACGGACTTTTTCTCAATTCCAAGGACCTCAAACGTTCTCAGAGCCTCATAAGTTTCTTCTAAGCTGAAGACCACAAAGCAATGTTTGCACTACTGTTAGCCAATCATTTTCATAAAGCTACATCTGAAAATCTCATACTGAGAGTTCAGTATCAGAGCTAAGTAGCTTGGTAAATCCGCCACTCGGAGAAGAAATGCCAAAGTTTAATCTAGCTCACCTCCCAAAGGATCCATCGGAGAGAGTGAAGAGCTCTTCCGCAGCGGATCGATGAGCGTCGGAGATCGGCCTGAAGATCGAAGCTTCGCCGATCGACGCGATCGCTAATGCCATTACAATGACAAGTCCTAGTTTTCCAGACATATTGCTGCAAGTAAAAAAAATCAACAGTCCGTAATCGATCGAATGAAAATCGAATACCAGATTGACGAATCCAGATTGAGATTCAAAGGAGATCCTGATCGTCGCTTACTGTTCGTTCTGGGAGGGAGAGAAGACTTCCGAGTCAGCACCAGAGTGACTGACAATGCCAAAGAACAAGAAGAAGAACAATTTTGGATTCCAAACAAGCCCTAAATATGACGTGTTGCCATAGCTTACCGAGCAATGAGGAACTGACATGTTGGATTTCTACATGCGGGCCAAGCCGGGCACTTTTACTTATTTAATGGGCTTACTATTTTTATAGCCATACACACTGATGTCTAAGTAGATTCCAGCCCAATGGTATTGTGAGAATGGTTGACTTTAATTAAAGGCCCGTTCGGTGAGCAAAGCATTTTTGGATATAATATATCGTACAATCGGTCATACGGTGTTTTTGCGACGAGTGTTCATTTACGAATAACTGGATATTCATTTTCGAAAAATTGAATACTTATTTTTGAGCAACAGAAAATTCATTTTTGAGTAACTGAATATTCATTTTCCTAAAATTCAGTTCTACTCAGAAATGAATATTTTGTTACTCGAAATGAGTATTTCTGCGGATGTACGGGAAACATCATACATCTGCATATATGGTATATATACTTTATGATATATAAGCTTTGAAATACGGAGTCATATAAAACTTGTAATGCGAGTTCTAAAATTATAAATAAGTGATTAGAAAATTATGAAATAATAGTTGTTAGTGACATGCAGAGATAATTACAGTTAGCATAATGTACCAAAACACTTTCATTTAGAAAAGTTGTTGTATTAGGAGATATCAATGCAAGCTTTGTTTATCTTTCACCAAACACTCGTACATTGGTTTTGATATCGAGAATTTAAGAACTCATATTAAATGAGCTCACCAAAAGAGTCCTAGAATTTTCAAATAATAAATATTTTAATAAAGAAGAAATCAAAAGCATATCATGGATGCTTGCCAATTTTCTTATATAATTCTACTAGAAGATAAAAATAATTTATTTACAATAGAGTGCTATCTGTTTGGATGGAGAGAAAATGCAAAAAAAAAGGGGGGTTTGACCATGTTAAAAAAAAGTTTATGGTAAAGAGAGAATATTTAAAATAACTTCTATGCCTTCAAATGTGTGACATTTATGCCGTGTGCAAAAATATCATTTTATATCATCCCATTTTTTTCGTACCTTTTTTCAACCAACCAAACAAAAGAGAGTAATCATTTCTTTCTTTTTTTTTCATTTTCACTTCATTTTCTACTCATCCAAACAATATATTCTCTGTATTTTCTCTTCATTTTATCTTCTCTCCATTTCTATTTTTCCAATTTCTCTGTCTCATTCTCTCCTCATCCTAACAAAGATTCTCAAATTTTAGACACCTATTACATAAGGTCATGCGGAAAGTATAGTCCAAAAATATAGATCAATTCGGTTTCCAAAACTTCGCCTACTCGTCTTTTAGGCTACTATTATTGTGACTCCTTCCGTCCCAAATTAATTATCTCATAGCAAATTACAATGGTTGAATAATTAATTTCCTATTTTTAATTTATTTTAGAAAAAAGTACAAAATGTTAAAATAAGACTTGTACATTAAAAACGCGATTAACATTACTATGATTTTAATACTACGGCAGGAGAGATCAGAATCATATGTGGCAACTCAAGAGAAAAGCCTATGTAACAAATGGAGATACTCTTTGTGCAAATGTCATAACAATTGGTGAAAGGCAAAACACATGGAATGGTCTATGTCAAAAGCTTAAGATTAGCATTGCACTACATTATGAGCAAGGACTTGATGGCAATGAATCAATACTTTGGAGGTGGCTTCTGGGTGGGCAACAGACCAAACCGCTTTTTTAGGAGAACTCTCTGCCTCGAGTATTTGTCATCTGGGGAGAACCGAGCTGCACATAATTCGTTCCTGTTAATAAGCCTTGATGTCCAAAACCATATCGTTGAAATACTTACATAAGATTGTGTTAAATCTAAGTTTGAGAGAGTAGCCGGTAATGCGGAGGGGCAGAAGATAAACCTGGATGAGCAGATTGTGTGGCCAGTCCCAGCGGAGATTCTTTCTGAAAGTTAAGAAGGCAATAACATCAGGCAAAACGAAATTGGGATTCCAAACAAAATTGAAATATCATAGCTTTTGCCTGCTCCCTTTGTTATTTTTTCAACTGACCCTTGTGATATTTTTGATTCATTAAAGCATGAATGAAAGTACACATGATGTATGTCTCTGTTCATTTAGCTTTTGATGTTTTGCAAAAATCTTAATGATCAGAGTGAACGGAGAGAGAATTTTGTTCATTCTATTAAAGAGATTTACGAGGGACTTGCGGTTGGTCCCTCTAGGCATCCGTTACAATGGATATCTAAAAGTGTCATTTCTCAAAAGATGTAGGCATCATAGCGAACCAAGAGTCTATGGGTATAAAGAGCATTGGTTTTCTGAGATGCCCATTAAAAATTTCATTTTAGATCCCCGCTACATCACATCTTGTACGAGGAACAAGACGGAGATTGAATTCTGGCATTAATTGAATTGGTGGACAAAAACGATGCCCAAGAATTCTCGCCAGACGCAAGGACCCTAACCTAAAAATGAAATCTAAAATCATGCTCCTGATACTTAATCTTTCAGAGATGTATTTCATATAACATAACCACAAGGTTAATTCGGCCTATTGCAGATTTAAGTTCAGAAAAAGCAGCCATTAGAACAACAAACTAAGTATAATCCAAACACTTACATCTTCAAAGAGGCTAAAACAAAAGGGAACCCAATAAACTCTGCTCTCTTTACCAAACACTTCTAATAATACCCAAAAAGAAATCTTTTGGAAAACACTTCAAATACCAATAAAAATCCCTCTTTCTTCATAAAAACTCATCAGGAAGCTCCTGGCCAAACAAGCTCTTAATACAATCAAAGATGCAGATAACAAAAATAATTGATATAGCAAAAGACCAAACAACACAATAAGTATGAAGGAGGGAATTTTCAAAAAAAAACGAAAAAAGATGAATTGCTGACTGTTCATACCTTGGTTGTATAGACTTTGTCGCCCTTTTCGTTTATGTAGAAATGGAGATACATGGTAGCTTTTTCAAGAAAGGATCTGTCAAAATGCCCAATAAATAAAGAAATAAATAACGTAAATTCTATGAAAAACTTCAAAAAGAAAAAACATATACGCAAAACCCACATGAGGATTAACGGAAAGATTCGATCTTTTTCACTTTGTTTTGTAGGTTCTTCTCGTCTAGATGCAGAGAGGTTCAGTAGGGTTTTGCCCTCCACGCCGCAGGAGACCAAACCAGGATGGTCAGCATGGATATAACATGCGACTTCTGAGGGTACGAAACTAATTTTATTTTGCAAGGGGTGGCCAATTATTTAAACTATTAATGAACATGCCCCTGTAAATGTCATATATTTTTCCAACGGCCCCAAGTTTCAATTACACAGACGTGTCACCATGTGTTCCTCAGACCACATCAAACAGGCTCAAAGACGACCAGAGAGGAGAGTATCAGGCAACGTAAATGAACACCGGAGAGCAGTGTGGAGATCGAGGGGGGAGAGAAGAAAATGGCGGCGGAATCAAACAGCATAGAAGTGAGGGGCATGCAATTCTCGTACGATCTCCAGGCACCATTGNACCATTGTTCTTCGATTTCAGCGTTAGGGTTCCTCCCGGATCTCGATGTCTGCTCGTCGGCGCAAATGGATCTGGTACTTACCCACTATAGTAGATCGACAGTTTATCAAATTCCTAAAGAGAAAAAAAAGTCATTTTTATGCATTTTTTGTTCCCTTTAAAGGGAAGACGACTCTGCTTAGAATTTTGGCTGGGAAACATATGGTTGGTGGCAAAGATGTGGTGCGGGTGTTAAATTCTTCAGCTTTTCATGATACGCGCCTGGTTTGTAGTGGTGATTTGGTTTATCTTGGAGAATCTTGGAGTAAAAATGTTGGCTCTGCTGTAAGACAATCCCTTTGTTTTTTTGTTTAATTTTCCCCCTCATATTTGAGGATTCTATTAAAAAAACTGATATTTGTGATGATTCTGGGATTTTTCTCAGGGGGAAATCCCACTCCAGGGAGACTTCTCTGCTGAGCATATGATATTTGGAGGTGAACTGAATCTTCTCCTCTGTTTGTTCATCTTCAAATGACTTTATGCTATTCATTCCATGAGATTTTATGTACGTAGTAATTGATATTACAGGTTGTGAGCTTAGAAGATTGAATGTATTAGGGCAATGCTAGTGTTTGGATGTCTGTGTTATGACTATTAAGAATCCGATTTCAATTGTTTGCGGCGATGGGATTTTGTTTCAACAAGTTCATATGCATTATTGCTGTGTTCTTAATTCAAAATTCTAATTTTTTTGGACTTTAGATTTCAAAGATGCCAATTTTAATTCCCACTATTAAAAAAATTATTATCTACTTTCGATATGTTGAGCACTCCAAAGTTCAAACTGTTGTGTCTTTTGAAATACTGCTGCAATTGCATGCATTGCTACAATTTTCAAATTTGGATCCGATGCTATCATATGAAATCCTAAGAAACTCATTTTTTATGTTATCTTGCTGTGATTAAGTTGAAGGAGCTGATCCTAGTAGGAGAGAAAAGCTGATCGAATTGCTTGATATTGATCTGCACTGGCGGATGCACAAGGTGTCTGATGGTCAGCGGCGTAGAGTCCAGATCTGCATGGGCCTTCTTCATCCCTACAAAGTAAAACCTCATTCCTTGCTTGTTGTCCCATAATGTTCTTGTTTCCTGTTTCCCGTGTCCTGAAATTCCCTTCTTGTTTCCTTGTAAAACAACAAACCTAGTGAAATTCTATGAGTAGGGTTTGGGTAGGGTGTTCGTAGTCATACCTTACCCCTACTTGGAAGTAGAGAAGCAGTTTCCAAGATTCTTGTTTCCTTGTAAGGAAAGATTTTTGTGGTTTGTAACTTGGTATTCTAAATAAACTTCTCAACCACACATTTACAATTTCTTAATAAGGTCATTAGGGTGCCAAGTTAAAGCTCAGAGAATTATTGGACTGGTGAAGTAATGTATGTGGGCTAAAAGATGAAGAAAAAGTTTGAAAAATCCCATATATTAAAATTTAGCTTAGGAAAGACCTTTGTGATTGTAAAATATAATTTGTAAAAATATTATTCTCATATAATGCTTGTACTGTCTCTTTGTGAGATTTTACTGGATCCTCCTTGGATCATTTTTTGTGAGATTTTACTGGATTTGTTCTTGTTGTATATTATACTCGCAGTATTTTCATAGAAGAAGTGGGCTCATGATTCTCGGGCCTAAAAGAGGCCTTCTCATCGGGACACTGTGCCGTATTTCTATATATGGAAGGAGGTGTTGTACATAATGTAATGTGGAGTATTAAAGAGTATACTCCATACGTTTTTGTGATCAATTCTAAGACAGTATTTCCATGTTTTTCTGTTGTCATCTTAAGTGTATGTATATGAACAAAATGTTTGATGACAGTAATACTATCAAGTATGATGAGAAATATTACTTGTGTATTTATCTGAGCATTATAATTTTCATTCTATTACAGGTTCTTTTGCTAGATGAGGTTACCGTTGACCTAGATGTTGTAGCAAGGATGGATTTGCTCGACTTTTTTAAAGAAGAAAGTGAACAGGTACTGTTATTAGGTACTCCTGCCTTCCATTGAATGAAGTTCATAGTTTGACTTCACAAACTTAAAAAAAGAAGTGTTGAAAAGTGAAAAATCGTCGTCCGTTCAGAGCATTATATTTGTTTTTTCCCCATTTCTCTTATTATCAATGTCTTGCTGATGTCAGAGGGGCGCTACGATAGTGTACGCAACACACATATTTGATGGCCTGGAGACATGGGCAACGGACCTAGTCTACGTCCAAGATGGGGTTTTGAAGAAGTCGGAGAAGTTGTCTGAAGTTGATGAGCTGAAGACATGTCCCAATTTGCTCTCTGTTGTAGAGACCTGGCTTCGCTCCGAGACCCCTATAGACAAAAAGAAAACCGCTGGCAATCTCCCGGCTGCACCACCACGTAACAAATCTTCCCCTTTTGATGCCTCTCCCTTTCGCTCGTCAAGACACATGGCGTATTATCGCTGATGCACTCCCTCGGCGCATCTTCTCGTTTGGGAAGGAGAAAAACGAGTTCAACAATAAACCCAGTAAAATCCCGCAAACAGTAGGGTCTGGAGAGGGCGTGTAGAGAAGAAAAAAACACTGGGAAAATGATATGAACCCAAAGGTGTTTTTATACGTGTGATATGTGACAAAGAGCAGCAAAAACTGCGATAAGTTGGCTTCTTCTTTTTTCTTTTTCAAAATTTTATTTGAGGATTCATAGTTTGTATACTACTCCGGGGTACTATTTAATACACAGGTTTACATTCTTTTCTTAACTTTTTTTGTGTGACATTTGTGGTTGACACTAATATAATTACTATAATTACAATTTATGTATTTGTGTGTGTTACTAGTGTTCCCCTGTTGTGTTGCCAAGTTCATGAAAATTTGGTTAATTGTTTATTATTCACATTGTTAATCTGCATTCATGTTCTTTCCTTATTTTCATTATTCATTTAAATAAAATAATATAGTCATGTTACTTTTTGTTTTTTAGAATTTTTTATATAATTTTGATGAATAATATACAAAGTTTGTTTTTAAATTCTGCTTCAGTTGTTTAATATATTGCATTGAAAATAACTTCTGGTAAATAATCAAAGTGTACATTTTATTCGCCAGAGTACATGTGGCCTAAGTAGGAATACACTTTAAATTATTAGAATTTTTTTTTTACTATATTTTCCTTTCCATGCAATGGTTTTTTAACTGAAAGTATTTCATTCAAGTTGGACTAAAAATATTACTGGAGTACGTAGTAAAAGAAAAATTATCCCCCATCGAACAACCGAGTAAAAGTAAAAAGAGTAAATTGTAAAAATGGTTCCAAATTAGATGTGGTTTTCCATTTTTAGTCACCAATTCTTTAATATTTCATAATTCGTCTTTAATTTTTTAAAATTATTTTATAAATAGTCTTTTAGCCCAAATATATTAGAATATTCTTTTCCACAAATAGTTTGTGAAGGGCCGATTATGAAAAATAGTTTTCAAAAACTGAGGACTATTTATTAAATATCCAAGAACTGAGAACTAAATATGGAAATGAACCTGCAATTAGAAACTATTTATTATTATTATTTTATTATTATTATTATTATTATTATTATTATTATTATTATCATCCAACTGTTCTTATCATAAAACAATTCTTATAATCCAACTGCATACACGTATCGTCGGTGTCCATTTCTGCACATCCAACTGTTTTTGAGGTACGCGTTTCAATATTACTGTTCCGGCGATTGGATTGTGCTCCCCGTCTTCTTCTCCGACGCCAAAATTCCGACGGTGACGTGAACAGATCCCTCTCTTTCTTCTCTTCTTCTTGCCCCTGCATTGCTTCAAGGTTACCCAAGTTCTATCAACGAAAAAAATATGCATCCGCAGCGGTGTAAGGTGATCTATATGCTTCGTGATTTTTTCCTGTGTTGTTTTTTCTTTCTTGGGAGCCTGAAATTTATCACAAATTTCCGATTTCTATGGAGCTCGTGTTATGTTTAGGTTAGAATTTAGTCGATTGGATTGTGTTATGCATTGGTCATGATGAATAAATGCGCGCATATGTATTTATGGTTTGATTAATGCTTTGTTTTTCTTGATGGATTTGGACATTTAGGGGATGAGTGAGTAGGAAGAGGTGATAATGAATGACATTGTTAGGGGAATTCATAGTCGTGCCCTCATATGTTGATGGGGGAGTAGATGGATGCAGCTAGGAGCTGGTTCCAGAAGTTCCAATCGCGGGATCGTTTGAGAGCATCAACCAAGAAGAAGGATTTAATGGCGGGTGGTAAAGAAGATTCTAATCATTTATCGGCCGAGGAAGCCTCCAATGTTACCAAACAGAAAGTTGCTGCCGCGAAGAAATACATAGAGAATCATTACAAAGAGCAGATGAGGATTCTGAAGGAGAGGAAGGAGCGGTATGGCGTACCCGCATTGGCATTGGCCTTCCATGACTTGCGAATATAAATACATTCTGTTTTTAGTTTGAATTTGATAGTTTTAAGTTTAGTTCGCCGTAAGATTATGGAAAGTTTGGTTTGGCATGCAGCCGAAGCTTACTAGAGAAAAAACTTGCTGATGCCGATGTCTCAGAAGAAGATCAAAACAATCTTTTGAAGTTTTTGGAGAAGAAAGAAACCGAGTATATGCGACTCCAAAGGCACAAAATGGGTGCCGATGATTTTGAGTTACTGACAATGATTGGGAAGGGTGCATTTGGTGAGGTGAATTGAATGCCATATTTTCATTTATTCCTTTTGCTGCAAGTATGGTAGCTCATTTCTTTTTCTTTTCTCCAAGAAAAACTCAACTCTATATTGCTTTCTAGATTTTAATTGCAATGTTTTCACTTAGAGTATGGTAGTTCATTTCATCTCTTTTTTTATAAATTAAAAAAGAAGAAGAAGAAGCACCAGTGACTTTAATGTACAGGTCAGGATTTGCAGAGAAAAGACAACCGGGCATGTGTATGCTATGAAAAAACTGAAGAAATCAGAAATGCTTCGCAGAGGACAGGTTTGTCATTACCAACTTAGAATGGTGTTAGCTTGGCTTTCTATTCACAATGCACATTGGTATTTAACTTGTGGATTGTGTCAGGTTGAGCATGTTAAAGCTGAAAGGAATTTGCTTGCAGAGGTTGACAGCAATTGCATAGTCAAACTGTATTGTTCTTTTCAAGATGAAGAGTATCTATACCTTGTCATGGAATATCTACCTGGTGGAGATATGATGACTTTACTTATGAGGAAGGACACTTTAACTGAAGATGAGGCGAAGTTCTATGTGGCAGAAACCGTCTTGGCCATTGAATCAATCCACAAACATAACTATATACATAGGTCATTTCATGTCCTCATGCCATTTGTCAATGTATTAATCTTTAGTACGTATTCACTGAGTGGACTTTTCATTATTTGCTGCAGAGATATCAAGCCTGATAATCTGCTACTGGACAGATATGGTCATCTAAGACTCTCGGATTTTGGGCTATGTAAACCTTTAGATTGCAGTACCATACAAGAGGGGGATTTCTCAGTGGGGGAGAATAATGGTACAACTTCAAAGGGCTGTGAACAAACTGCTACTCCTAAACGCACTCAGCAAGAGCAACTACAACATTGGCAGAAAAATAGAAGGATGCTTGTAAGTTTTAAATCCAGTTTTTTGTTTTCCACTTTTCACGATTTTTTTATTTAGACCACCTATTGGGCATTGGAGTTGTTCCTTAAGTTAACTGATAGGTAGTACTATTTGATTATATAATGATTTTGGTGCACTATAGTTCCACTTAAACTTTTATTCTGTTAAATAGTGGTTTTAATCTTTTGATATCGTCTTGATTCTTTGGAAATGCATTGTTTCTTTGCTGAAATAAGTTACTTCCCTAATTTTTGTTCATGCTGGGGCATTACAGGCTTATTCCACTGTGGGTACACCAGACTATATTGCTCCAGAGGTTTTGCTGAAGAAAGGTTATGGGATGGAATGTGACTGGTTAGTTTGTTGCATTTTATGAGAACATCCCTGTATCTTTTAATAACTGGGGCTTGCTACATTGCAACAGTTACAACATTGTTCGTTTGTAAGTCTATTGGGCAGGGGTGCTGTTTGGCTAGCAATTTAGTTGTGTTTTATGACATTCTATGGTATCTTAATGATGTACATGAAGATAGAGTTTATCCACATTTGCAGGTGGTCACTTGGTGCTATAATGTATGAAATGCTTGTAGGCTATCCTCCTTTTTATTCTGATGAACCCATGTCAACGTGTAGGAAGGTGTGCTTTGGGCTTCTGTGAAATATTTTCTTTCTAGTTTTAACATCTTGTTTGATCACGCTCTGGTTCTACTAATTTTCACCATATTGTTTTACTGGGTTACTGTTCAACTTTTTCTGAATAGACTATACATTCAAGACCGAACTAATTAACTAAACGATCCATTTAATTTTACATAGAGAAATGTCACATTTACATGCACACAAGTCATAAGTAAATATAAAGTTCTGAAATCATTACATATGTTAACATCTTTGCTTTTGTACAAGCAGATAGTAAACTGGAAAACACATCTAAAGTTTCCTGAAGAAGCAAAACTATCTCCTGAAGCAAAAGATCTTATAAGCAAACTACTTTGTAATGTCAACCATAGGCTTGGATCAAAGGGCACAAATGAAATAAAGGTGTTGTATGGTGTGTCCTATGCTATGCTCTTGAATGAGTTAAAAGGGTTAATGTAAGAAAGTAAATCAGCAGTACGTGTTTTTGTTCTAGGTTCATCCCTGGTTTAAAGGAATCGACTGGGACAGAATATATCAGATGGAGGCTGCATTCATACCTGAAGTCAACGATGAGTTGGACACTCAAAACTTTGAAAAGTTTGAAGATGTAATATATGGTTACTCCATTTTATCACACACGAATGAATAAATTGGGTTATTTGTTGTTTCTTTTTTCATGTTTCCCTCATCAGTTGACATTTTACTGTTCTCTTCATTGCAGTTGGAGTCACAAACTATTACTTCATCAAAATCGGGTCCATGGAGGAAGGTAATCAATCTGTGTTGCATCCATATAGGAATATAATTTCAAACATTCTTCTTTTAATTTAATTATTGGAACTTACGTGATCTCATTTCTATTCATCGTTATACAGATGCTGTCATCTAAAGACGTTAACTTTGTGGGGTACACATACAAGAACTTTGAGATAGTCAATGATTATGAAGTTCCTGGAATGGGTACCTCTCTCTGTTTCTCTTTCACTCATCATGCACATACACACTGGGCTGCTTCTGGTGTGAACATATGCCACATAAAGCAAAAATTTGAGTTTGAGTAACATGTTGCAAAAGAATTAAGTGTTTTAAATATCCTTTAAAAATCATGTTAGAAAAGATGCATGCTATAGTAGGAAGATGACTAAAGAAAGTCTTGTTTGTGATTGCCAGCTGAATTGAAGAAGAAAAGCACCAAGCCTAAGAGGCCAACCATCAAGTCACTATTTGGTATGCTTATGTACCTATGTCTTCTACGATTCTCAAACATGTTCATAAAGTTGATGATTATTTCTCCTCTTTCAAAATGACAACTTTTGTACTCTTTTTTATCCTTTCCCCCCGGTGCGCAATTTGGTCCTGACCAATTAGTAAAACCATCATGTTTTTTTAATTTCCTTAGGAGTCATTTGGAATATTAGTATCACTATCTCATGGATTTGTTGGTATCAACAGAGGAGGAGTCAGAAACATCAGAAACGTCTAGTCAGCAATCGCAAGGTAGCGTTATGGATCTCTTGCCACCTCAGCTCGACGCTTCAGAGTCAATCAAGTACAGATAACTATGGTGTTTTGCACGAAAACTTTTGAACCAATCTTGTATTCATAGATGAGTTAATTTCCATCAACAAGAACTCAACCATGTTGGCATCCCCAAAGAAGTGTAGAGAAGTCTGATCCATCATCTACTCATTGATTCATATTTGTCTTCTGGGCTGATCTGGTGCTGATTGTTTTTTCTTTTATTCGTTTAACGATAGCGTAGGGCCCATAGTCACCCCCGGTGGACATCATGTATTTTTCTCTTTTTTTTTGAAAGCTAATGCTTGTGTAAGACACCACCACCAACAACCCAGTTGGATCCCATGCGAGTAGGGTATGGGGAAATGCTTGTGTAAGACATTGAACATTAATTGATATTTATGTATAGAAAACATATTTGCTTTGCCAGCCATGCCCAGAGCATCTTGGAGTCTGTTAAATAAGTAAGCCAAACTAAAGTAACTCTGTAATCCTGCTCAAAAGTAGGGCTTGGCAAACTTTGCCTCTGCCCAATCAAGAAACTATGTTTAAAAATATGAGCATTGTGTTGGTGAAATCTATGCATAAGGGAGAAAATGATACTAAGGTACTTTCTAAGACGAGGCAAAATTTTGATTAAATAAATTGTTTAATTTTCAGCATCCTAGTAAATGGATTATAACCTTCTCTGGGTATAGTTTATTTCCGAATATCGTGTCTTTCAAAGAATCGATAAATTTTTTAGCTAATTTCTCCTATTGCTAATACATGTTGGAAGGTTTTTCAATCGTTTTAAATTTAAAATGTGAGAATAGTTTAATCATATTTGCATTGGTTGCACTAAATGACAGTTGGTCAAGACATTACTTGAGAGTACTCTTGGTCTTGCATATATTTATGCAATATTTGGAATAATGATAATTTAATCTTGTAGAGGATCATATCTTTTGGCATCATGTATGGTGTTTTGAAAATTTTGTTTGATTAACTTGCATTCCTTTTGGACAAGCCAAAAAATAATTTCAAACAATTAGTTAATACCAACATATATTGCTTTTATTAACTTAGGAAAAAATCATTCCAAAATTGGTATTTCTATAACTAAAATAAACATAAAGAGCTTAACTCTTTGAATTTCAAGCCTCAACTTTTAGTGTCAACTCTAGACATAAGATCAAACTCAAATTATAGAAGTATAATAATAAATAACATAATCATTAATTTAAAACTACTCCATTATTTAAACTTACAATTTGCATAAGGCTTTGAAACTGCTTCTGATCGCCAGAGCAAAACAACACTTCTTACTCTATACTTATTCGAAACAACCAATCTGGTTGTCTTGGTGTTTCGAATTATAAAAAAAATATTGCGGAATAAATCTTAAAATAGGATAGTTTCAAACTTGCAAAATACTTACTAATATGAGACATTTTATAAGAGGAATGCTAGGGGTACCCCATTTTGTACACCATGCATCTTAGCCCTTCATTTATTTTTTTATTTTTAATTTTTTTTCTCTCTTGCTTTGTGTGGTGGAGATGGAAGGGGTACAAATGGGGTACCCCAAATGATGTACCCCTAGCATTTTTGATTTTATAACTCACCACTTTGGCTGACTTGTGTCACATCATTTGTTTTTTATTTATGAAATAATTCATAGTTATTAAAAAGTGTTATGTTAACATTATTAAAATTGCTAATACTAACAAAATGATAATTCCACCAAGAAAAAAATTACTACAGGTTTCCTTTTTCAGGCGCTTTAGCACATAGCTTACCCGCACGTTTTTCAGTCAATCAAATCCCTCTTTCTCATCAAAGGTCTTTCCTTTTCCAGTTTTCTCCCGCGCCCAAGTTGGGGTTTGGATTCATTCATCTTCTCCGTCGAAAGGAAACCAACCCATACATATACCCTTCTATCTTGTTGATTCATAAACTGATATCTTTTTGCATCCGCCATGCCTGTAAATATTCAAAATCTGGATTCCGGCTTTTGTGTTTGATACAGATAAGTTTTTTTTTTTTTTTTTTTTTTTGTAATTGAAGGATGTAATTGAACAATTGCAAAACTTTTCTCGATCGAGACTCTTTAGGATTTTGTTTGTTTGTTGTTGATTACTTGATTATACATATACACAAGTTATTTTGTTGTATTTGTTGGCTGTGTACCATAGTTGTTCATTGTATATCTATCGGATGGGAGCATTGGGTTCCTATCTTGTACGTTTCAGCGGATTTGGACATTCTCAATTTTCATCAAATTTCTAACCACAAATAAGTGCGGGAATCGAGCTTCTGAGTATTTTATTTTGCTCTGTAAATTACTCGAACCGCCGTTCTAATGTCCATGGAACGTCTTATCGGTGACAAGTTTAAGATGGTGAGAAAGATTGGGAGTGGCTCTTTTGGTGAGCTTTATTTAGGTATGTTCTTCATTGTAGCAGATGGCATTCATTTTGGTTTAGCTCAGTAAATGTGCTTTTTCTTCTTCGTCTTCTTCTCCCACTGCCCAATGTTCTGATTGGCTTATCGGGGTGTTTTTTCATATTCGTTTCATTGTTGTTGTGGGATGTTGCTCTAATTTTAATTGTTGAAGTGTCTGCTGATTATATGTAGGTGTCAACATACAAAATGGAGAAGAAGTTGCCATCAAGTTGGTGAGCTCATTTCTTGTTTTATATCTTAGCATCACAGCAGTTTTTTACACCCTGTGATTGTCAAAATTAATCATGTACTAGATGTGTTGTAGAAATACATACTCCCTCCGTCCCAAATTAATCTTCCCAGTTATTATTAGGGACTCTCAATAACTTATGTTTTCATTGATCATTTGATAAATAAAATATTCTTGTCATTTCTTCTTTTGTAGAACTTTTGAAGTAGTTTGAACCGTACGGTATACTTGTACTTTTATTTCTATACTAATTTGTAAATAAAATCATTTTAAAAAGATGAGATTTTGCACGTTCTTCCAAATGGGAAGAATAAATTGGGACGGAGGGAGTATGTTATAGAGAGTAATTGTTATCACATGTTACTTCCAACAGTTTAGGTAAACCTACACAATCAAATGTGTGAATTGTGATGGTCGAATCCTTGTTCATTTTGGTGATTGGGCTAAGCATTTTATTGTTTGTAAATTAAATTGTAAATGCATATGGCATATTGAATTAGATTTACTAAATAAGTTTGTAAAATTCATTTGTATCGAAATTAGTTTTAACATTTCAGTACACAAGCATATAGTATATATGTTCATGGACAATGGTTCATGTTTTGTCCTTTGCCTATTGAGCTAAAATAGCCATGTTGACAATGTGTTAGTTTGAGGTAAATGATGAACTAAATTAATATGACACATTGAATTTCTATTGCTTCTTACTTTCCATGAAGCTTTAGATAGTAAATGCAGCAATAGTGGGTTTGTAGTTGTTGTTGTTGGATAGTGGTTCATGCAAGAGTATCATATGTCTGTTACTTCAGATAACCTTGTTCGTTTGTTTCTTTGGCATGAGTTTTTTGTTGCTGTATTCTCCAGGAACCAGTCAGGACCAGACAACCACAGCTTCACTATGAATCAAAAATATATTCCCTTCTCCAAGGAGGAAGTACGCTGTCTTACGATACAACATTGTTCGCTTTCTTACTTCCTTCTTTCCTGACATAAGCATTATACAATTGATTTTGCAATTGGGATTCATGTTGATAGCATGTAACAAATAAAGAAGAATTATATTACTCCGTATAATAAAGTAGAATTGAAATGTGTGCTCACTATGTTGAAGATACTGCACATACTTAGCTGATCAATTTGTTTTTTGTGTTTTTGCGAAGCTGGTATTCCCAATCTTAAATGGTTTGGAGTTGACAAAGATTACAATGTCATGGTCATTGATCTTCTTGGTCCGAGTTTGGAAGATCTTTTCAACTACTGCAATAGGAAACTCTCCCTAAAAACTGTGTTAATGCTAGCAGATCAACTGGTACATGAATCTTGTCTATGTGCACTCAACGTGCCCGGATATCTATTTCTTTTTGTGTTGCTTACTGTTTTTTTAGGCTACAATTTTATCATGTTTCATGCTCAGATAAATAGAGTTGAATATATGCACAGTAGAGGATTTCTACACCGTGATATAAAGCCAGACAACTTTTTAATGGGCTTAGGTCGCAAAGCAAATCAGGTACTATTCTTGGTGGTTAATATTTGTATATGCACTGATAAAATAATTTCTACACAGTAAATATTACCATGTCATTTGAGCATGACAGATGGATTTTAAGTTTGAATGCTTGAGCAGGTTTATGCCATAGATTTTGGCCTTGCTAAAAAGTATAAGGATCTCCAGACTCACAGGCATATACCGTACAGGTCTTACACTCAACTCTTTTTCTAATTATCAGAAGTCGCGTGATTTGATACTAAGCAAAGACTTTCTTCTTATACAACAACATTACCCCAATGCCTCAATGGCTCCCGCCTATTGCGGGGTAAGGGGGTTCGGATGTACGCTGACCCCTATGTTTAAAACATAGAGCGGCTGTTTCTAGATGATCCGTGATGAGCGTCAAAAGTTGCATTGACTAACTCCTATTTCACAATTGCAAGAAGCGTAGACAGATTAAAGAGCCAATTTGCTTTATTCCGTCATACCCCAAAGCCAAAAAATAGTGAACCTTTGGCTCCATAGAGACTTTCTTCTTATAATTAAAGAAAATAAAAATACATCCTCTGTGAGTCATATGTGCACACACGGTGTAATCATCTCAAAGTATATTGAAGTTTGCTTACAAGTTGGATGAAGTATATCAGTATATGATTTTTATAGATTATTAGTCATTACATTTTTTGACATTGCTGTTTGATCTGGGGAAAGGGTAAATTGATATAGAATATTATTACTAGTCCCTAAATGTTTTTCCCCTGCTCAATTTCTCAGGGAAAACAAAAACTTGACTGGCACAGCTCGTTATGCTAGTATCAATACGCACCTTGGAGTTGGTCTGTTCACTTCCTAGACATGTAAAGGAGTGTTTGTGAATTTTATTGTAATCAATTAGTTCTGCTTTTGTTTTTGTCAGAACAAAGCAGAAGGGATGATTTGGAGGCTTTGGGCTATGTACTTATGTACTTCCTCAGAGGAAGGTTGGGTTTTATAGTTGCTGCTGGTTTTCTTCATTCCTGGATTTAGTTTCTCTCCTGACATACATTGTCGTCCTTTTAACATATGTTCACAACTTTATACAATTTTTTTCTTGCTTTAGCCTTCCATGGCAGGGATTAAAAGCCGGTAACAAAAAGCAGAAGTATGACAAAATCAGTGAAAAGAAAATGTCAACTCCAGTAGAGGTACTTGCTCTGCCAAAGACAATTGAAATAAATATGTGCACCTGAACTTGTCCTTGTCAATAATCATTAATTCTTACTAAACCCTTTAATACTTCAACTCTTGATTTGGTATCACATCATACCCTTTAATACTTATGATAATCGTGGATATAGGTGCTATGCAAATCATACCCCTCTGAGTTTATCTCGTATTTCCACTACTGTCGATCATTACGATTTGAAGACAGACCTGACTATTCGTATCTGAAGCGTCTTTTCCGAGACTTATTTATTCGTGAAGGTAAGGAGTAAAATATGATCGGTGTTTTCAATGTCTAAATCTTTTCTTTGAATTGTAACCCTCTTATTGCTGCAGGTTATCAATTTGACTATGTTTTTGATTGGACAATTTCGAGATATCCTCAGATTGGCACCAGTTCTAGAGCTAGAGTAAGTGCCATTAATTCTTATACAGTTATACTCCCTACATCCCAAAATGAACTTTCCATTTTTTTTGGAAAACATCGAACAGTTCACATGATTTCTCTTCCTTCTACATAGATCTCATTTGACTTTCTTAAACTCCATGAAAACGGGAAGTTTAATTTGGAATGGAGGTATGATTGTTGTTTAAATAAGATTAAGTATGTCAGTTTTACTTAGCTTTTTCATTTTGTCAGAACTCAAGTGGGAATGCAGGAATAGGTGTGGGGCCATCTGCAGGACCAGGAAGAATAGCACCAGGTGTTGTCTTTAAACCCACCAAGAGTCTATATGGTTCTCAGCATAAGCAGAATAATCAGAACTATAAATTGCATTTGGCTGAAATAGGTTTTACCAAACACTTCTCCTTCAGAAAATTAAGCAGATTCAGCTATATTAGCTGAATAATCATTTCCAGAAGTGCTCCGAATGGCAGTTGTTATCTGTCCTTTTCAAAATATATGCTCCATAATCGTTTAGGATTTTGACATCAAGCCTTTTCACAACTTAAAATGAGCCCTTAGTGTGAAATGTTGGTGAATGAAATGTTTCTTCCATCAGACATCATACACATGTGACATGCCATTTTATTTTAAAATTCAGGAGGTCAAGATTCACGGGAAAGGTTTTCTGGTGGTGTTGGAGAGTTCTCTAGGAGAAATGTTTCTGGACCCACACGGCATGGTGAGCACTCAAGACACAGATCAGATGTACCTTCATCAAAAGATGTGGTAAGCACACATATTCATTCATTTAACATGTGATTGTAGGAAAATAAGTTGTGTAAATGGTTTAATAATGTACTCCGAACAAAAATATTTTCATGGTAAAATATTTTCCTATAAAAAATTGTTTAATCTACAATACACATACACATCTCAAACAATTAAATACTCCATAAGTAATACAAGCCTGCTGTTTGTCACCCAGACTCACCTATGGTACACTCCACTGTTGATTCCTTGTATAACCTTGCAACCAGTCGCGAACTTATTCTTCAATATCTTTACTCCCTTATTCCCAAGAATCTCGACGATGAAAATTATAAACAAAAGTTTACTCCCTTCATCCCATAATTTTCTTCATATTTTCCTAGTTGGTTTGTCCCAATATTTTCTTCCACTTTCTTTCCTCTGCACAAACCACAAACACACAAGTTCTACTTTAGTAAAAATCGTGTCAATCCCATACAATAAGATGATTATGGGACGGAGGGAGTATTTTACTACACATATACTCCGTATTATATCACGTTACACCTTTCACCAAATACACATATCACACATACATTCTCAGGCATTACCAAAGAAACCCACAAATACTAACACACTGCTCTTCACAACCTTTGACATACAAAAGAATTCGACCCTGCACATGCTTCCTGTTTAAATTTGACAAAAACAATTCCTTGTAAACAGACTTTCATTTTACGAAGATCCGAAGAACACTGAAGTATTTTCTTTCTGAAATAGTTTCTGCACCCACCCACCCAAAATCAGAAAATGTTTTCCTTCAACTAAAACGACCCCAGGTTACTAAGTTGTTAAATGGTCCTGCATTACCTTCCCCTTCGCCAAACTGTCGCCTTTTATCTATAAATCTTCATGCCAATGATGATCGAGTTTCTAAATCCCCCCCAAACACTGCTTTGTAAGTATACATACACTTTCATCTTGTTAGAGTGTCTTATCACGAATTTATCCACATATCACAATCGTAAAAGATGGGTTTCATATTTCATAGCCTTTATGTTTAGGTTTTTATGGTCGAGAGACATACTATATGTTGTTTGGCTTATTTATAATTTTCAAGTTTCTCTTATGAATTCAAGTGATATACCATGCATACACTAATAGAGGTTGTTGCGTCTGCTACTGCGCGGCAGCAAGCTGCCGATTCAGAGAAGTACCAAACATCAAGAAACAGCTGCTCTTCAAAGAGAGGAGGTGCCAGTTCAAGCCGGAGACCAACTAGCTCTTCTGCCGAAGCAACTTATGCCGGTGGCGGTGGGCCCAGCAGCAGAGTCGTGTCCAGCATCGGCCGATCATCTTCTTCGCAGAGACTTAAACCGTCATTGGCGTTCTCCCGCGACGGAGTCACAAGGGGATCTCGCGGTGATGCTGTGAGGAGCTTTGAGTTCCTATCCATAAGAAAGTGAGCTGTGCACGAAACTTTTTGTGTGTTTTCTTCTTCTTGAAAGAGTGTATAGGACAGGTTCAGGTTTTAATACTAAAAGAATTTCACAGCCTATTAGAACGTATTTATTCAAATGTGTCTTCTGCAACAATAACCCCTTGTCTGGCATGCATCAAATTTATCTCGTTTTGTTGCCATTGTTATCTCAATTTGAGTGTGTGGTTAATATCCATAGAGGATTACAAAAACAAAAATAATGGTGTTGAAATATATGCCGAAGAGAGAAAATGGTACTTAATCTCTCTCAATTTAAATCGTTTGTTTTGATTTGCGATGTTTAATTAAAATTATTTTCGTTCATTTTATTAGAGAATTTAGGTAAATATATAAAAATAATTGCATATTTAAAAATTACATCAAAAGTAATACTCCTAGTGTACAAACTACTCCCTCCGTCCCAATTTAAATCGCATGTTTTGACTTTTGGACATATTTAAGGAAAAATAAAAAATAGAGTTGATTTTTCGAAATTGACATTACTTTTTAGGAGGGGTGATGATGAATGAGAAGATAAGGTGAAGAAGAGTGACTTATTTTAGGGGTAGTTTAAGTATTTTATTATATTAAATAAAGAGTATGGTTGAAAGTACTTACACTTTTTATAAATGAAAGTAAAACAATAAAATGAGATGAAGCAAACATTAAGATATAAATTATGTACTCCCTTTGTCAGACCGTCCCAATTTACGTTGTCTATTTACTATTTACAAAGTCAAATTTTAATTATATTCTTAACCCATTTTCGAGACCTATTTGAGCAAATAATACAATTTTGTCCCCTCTTGTTTTATAGAACTTTTGATATTTTTAAATATATAAACTTTATTTTTAAATTTCATACCAATTTTTAAATAAATTGAATTAAAAATAACTTTAGTCAAATCTCGTAAACAACATGCAAGGAGTGCCTCATGCCTTGCTCATGCCTCACTGCCACATCATCATAAAACACATTATTCCATGCGTGGAAGGAGCATGGCACCTCTCTTTGCAAGTCACAAGCGTGGCATTCTTGGCCCCATTTTATTATTTTTTTATTTTTTTTTCTTCTTTTTTTAAGAAAAAAAATTAGTTAATTTTTTTGAGTAAGTAGTAATATTTTTATGATATATAAAATAAATATAATAATTTCTAATAATTAAAATATGCCAAAAAATATAAAAAGATAATAAAAACTATGACTTGCCATTGTAAAGTTTGACACTCCACTCATTTGCCACACGTTGACTAGCTTATTTTTTATTGGTTAAACTATTCCACGTCAGCGTGTGGCATTTCACTCATTACTTGTTATTGCCAATGCTCTTAGAATAGAGGGAGTAATAAATTAAATTAAAGAAAGTTTATGAATCTTATAACGGTGTGGTGTGGTTCTAGTGCCACTAGAGTACGGTGCCACTGGCATTTTATGGCACCTCCGGTGCTCCGTTCGCAAAATTGACGGTTCTTACCCTCCTAACCCACCCCCTAAACCCCCCACCCTACCCCTGCNGTGCCCCAAAATACCATTGGCACCAGACTCCAGTGGCACTAGAACCCACCAATCTTATAAAAAGATTTTGACGTTTACCCAATCCTAAATTATAAAACTTGGGAGAATGGTGAAAAAGGAAAAGTAAACTAGATAAAATGTGGAGGAATTAAGAAGAATGCAATTATGACGTTTACCCAATTCTATGTGATAACAAACTTAAAAATAATGAAAAAGGAAAACTAAATTAGATAAAATGAAGAGTAACTCATTAATTGTCATCATATGGGATTTAACAAGAAAGCCACTACGACAAAATTAAAAGTAAATTTAGATAAAAATGGGTAAACATGGGAGTTAACAAGATGCAAGTCAAACCCTAAAGAGGTGCTATTGAAGTTGTTCAAGTAATACATCTTTGATGGCTTCCCAAAAGCTCTTTTTTAACATTTTTCATAGACACAAATTGACCCATTACAAATGATTTATCTATCATTTAGGTCAATATACTATTTAGCAAAAAGCCATTAAACACTCTTATAATCTCTAGCAAATGGCACAACACATTTACGGATAGTTCCTAAATGGCTACAGAGATAAGGTAATACTTCATTGCCCCATTTGTGTAAATCAAAATGGCACTGCCACATTGAAAAAGACGATTTGGAAAACTTGATCTTACTAAGTACCCGAAAGCAGGGTCCACAATAAAATTTCATGAAAGGTGAACAAAATTGAGTCATTTTTGGTACAGCAGAATCACAGGACCTAAAACATGGCAGAACAGGCTACCTATGAGAAACAACAAACAATGTTTCAAAGAGAAAGGGTTCCTAAACTGCGCTCTCCTTTTTCAGCTTCGAGAGCTCCTGTCTAACAACTCCAGCCTTCTGCAAATATTTTAACAAAAAGAGAACGTAAATTTGTCGGGAATATATTGCTTCAACTCAATGCAAAAACCAGAGAATAAAATTGATGGTTCTTTAAATTATGCAATGTAGAGGGAACATAGATTGGAATAAGAAACCAATTCCTATGATGCATTTGAAATGTAGATCAAATTATTCTACACACCTTGATTTTTGCCAACATGATCTTAAACCTGTCAAAATCATTCAAAGATTCCCTCCGCTTCTGCACTATCAACTTCTTTCCCCACGAGCTCTTCTCCCACTTGTTCTTGACGTCTTCGAGCATATAAAAGATCAGAAGAAAATTAAATCAAATTGAAGAGTAGTGATTTTGATATGGGAGGAAACAAGCTTAGGAATATGTTCTCACCGGCAGCTTCCATTGCAGCAATCAAATTCTTCTTCTTTGGGACCCGTTTGATGTCAATTACTATATCTGTTAGAGAAAGCCTCTTGAAGTTTATTTGAGTTCGAACCATGTCAGGGGCATCAATGAGGGCCTGTTAATGTGGAAAATGAATTTTTAAAAACAGATTAAAGTTCAAATATGATTTCCACACATTTCAATTGAAAAATAAAAATAGGAATCAATATAACCATGTTAAAATCTATTTTTGATAAATAAATACTAATAAAACATTTCATTACATCATAAATCAGTAAGAGAAGGATATATAAATACTACGGCCTCAGATCATTTTACATGTATCTGTCATGAGAAGATCAGACAATGTAGGCAATATGTTTCCCATCATTGGCCACAAAGGAATAGTTTCTTTTTTGAATCTCAGCTTAAATCACTGGGTGTTTTGCCAAACCCCAACACTTTTCAATTGAAACATACAAAGAGAAATCAAGATTACCCTGGTTATATATTGTACACCAAACAATATTAACAAAAAACTTAAATACACAATTCAATGGCTAAATCAATAAGCAAAAGATATATCAGTACTAAGGCCTCAGATCATATACATGTCTCTGTCATGAGAAAATGATCAGACAATGTAGGCAAATGTATTTTTCCCATCATTGGCCACAAAAGAATAATTTTAAATCTAAGCTACCATCACTAGACGTTTTCCCAGCACATCAAACAAAGCAGGAATCAATATTAAAATGATAACATTTTTCTATTAATCAGTATCAATAAAAACAGTTTTTTACACCATATCTTATGGCTTAATCAATAGAAGAAGGATATATCAGTACTAAGGCCTCAGATCATATACATGTCTCTGTCATGCGAGAATGATCAGACAATGTAGGCAAATGTATGTTTCCCATCATCGGCCACGAAAGAACAATCTTAAATCTCAGCTACAATCTCTAGACGCATAATGAAGAACAATCTGAGTAATGGACACAAATATATTACCCTGTTCTGATCAACAACGTCGACGATGACGACGAGCTTTCCATAGTCCTTTCCGTAGTTGACGAGAGCGACACGGCCGATCTCCACGTACCTCTTGAACGGCTGCAATACGAAACAATAATATGAAATCCAATCATGAAATTCTCAGATGTTGAAGCAATTCACAAAAGTATGGCGACGACAGACTCACCATTTCGCCTCTGTGAGGTAGAAGCCGATCTAGGGTTTGGACGGGATGGTATCGCTGGGGTTTTGGATCTCTTCAATGGAGTTTATAAGGAATGATTCTGGGCCCTGCGCAGAGGTCACAACAATATTCGTTATATAGCCCATTTAAATTTTTTGAACCAACAGTCAAGATTGTGATTTGTGAACAAGGATACTTTGGCTTTGTTTGGAAAAAATGTTTTCAATGATCTTATTTAGGAAGAGCGTTTTCGATTAGCGTTAGCGTTTGGAATAAAATATTAACAGTGTAAATTAATTCAAAAAATGTTAAAGCTAAAAGCTACCGTCAGATAGTCTTTTCAAAACATTAATACTAATCTCTAACGTTGATGCCAAACTGAGCCAATTAGTGTTGGCGTCTTGGATAAAATTTTAACGGTGTAGATTAACTTTTAAAATGTTAAAGTTAAAGGCTACCATCAGATAACATTTTGAAAACATTAACGCTTACCTTAACGCTGATGTCAAACGGAACATTCATTAATTGTAAAATTATTTATGGTAATATCTTTGATAATATAACTATTATCAGTGTTTTAGATGTAATTCAATATGTCTTCAAAAAGACAATATTGATCTGGTAATTTAATTTTTACTCGGTGTTTAGAGGACAAGATCGAACCTTCAAGAAAACGAATGAAACACTACGTTCCATAATTATGTGTGAGCACATAGGAGATGATCTGACCGAATTTAGGATGAGTTACTGTTCTTTGTAATGCCGTTTGATCTTCAATCCCTAACTCAAATGGATTCATTCAAATCAAGTGGGACCCTCTAATCGTCCATCGACGCTGAAAGTAAAAATAGATGAGATTATCCAGACTCACACGATAATGATATGAACTGAATAACATTAAGTTTTAAAAATATAGATTACAGAGATAGATGAGTTTTGTTTAGAAACAACGTTTTTCGTTAACATTTTAAATTAAAGAATGTTTTTTATGTTTTAGATTAACTTTTAAAAAAACCATAAAATAATGTTGTTAAATGGCGTGTACTATATAGAGTATAATCCAAGCACCTGTTAAAGAATGGTCTGGGAATGTTTTCAACAGAATTTTACCACCAGATTGAAAATCTAATTTCAGCAGAAAGAACTTGATTGGGGGAATCAAAGTCGTCTTCACCCGAAGAGTAGATCGTCTCATCGTCCCCAAA